TTCATTCATTGTTTTTTTGTTCATTCGTTTCCAGCTTTTCAATTACCCCTTTCATTTTTACCCGTCCTAACTTAACATGAATTGATGAAAAATAAAAGACATCAGAGCAGCGAACACTACCTCTATGTCATCACTATATATCCTCCCCAAATACAGCAATACACACAACATCCATTGCTGGAACAAGAGTCCAAAATCCCATTTCCCATGCTGAGATTTTTTTATCTTATCAAGAATTGAATTTAAAGAGTAGGGATTTTGCAAAAAAAAGGGGAATTTAGAACCAATAATCCCAGGCCACTTTCTACTGCGAATGCCATCAACACCATTACAGCCACCCATGAAACACCAAAGACCCGACCCCCACCACTGCCTAGAGCCGAAACCATAGCCCCACCGAGACATCACCAGAGAAGCTTCTATTCATCCAACTACCTAACCGAACCAGAACCCCTCTACACAAGCCACTATCATGGCCTCATCCTCCAACCGAACCACTAGTAAATACCACAAGCCAAGAACCCCTATATACCCACTTTTGGTCGAAACACAGCTCCCATCACCCAAGCACCCTCAGCCGAGAGCCTCACTCCCATTCGATAACCACCTATCCCAAACAATCATAAGCTCTCCCATTCACTAACTTGCCCTCATACACCTACACAATCAACATCAAAAAACACAGCCACCCACTGTCAATAGTAACCAAACCGAAAATCAAAACAAACAAAACCACAGTCTTCCTTTTGGAGAGGAACCTCAGTCAAAGCCACAAAATACAAAAAATAAAGTCACAAAAACACAATGGCTGTCAGTATATAAAAAAAAAAGAAACAACACAAGCAAAATCTGAAGGTGAGTGTTTTGGACATAAGGGTGTTCTTTTTTGGTAATCAGGGGTGCATCAGAATTTGTAGAGAGAGAAAAGGACGGTTCTTTAGCGACGATGGCGGATGGCAGTGAGCGGTGGAGGCCGCATAGGGTGGTTCAGCGATCGTGAAGAGAATTTTGAAAATCCAAAATGGTGGAGATAAAGAGCATGAAGTGAAGAAGAACATACTCTGGTTTCAAAGGGATCGACAGTGGAAGCCGGCAGTTTCAAGGAGTTTTGGCCGAAAATTTAAGGGTATATCTAGGTTTCTTGAGGCGTTTTTAAGGAAAACTAAGCTGGGAATGCTCATTAGGGGGTTGAGGAGAACCTGCGACGAAATTTTGGGACCCAAGAGATGCCGGCCGGCAGCGGCTCGCCGGGTTTCGGGTAAACAAGGTGGCTGCTGGATTTGTGTTTAAAACGATTAAGAGAGAGCATTTGTTTAAAGAAGGAAAGATGAAATGTAATGAAATGTAATGAAATGAAATGAAAGGTTTGGGTCTTTTTTAATGAAATGAAAAAAAAAAAAAAGCTTTGGGTTTTTATAGTTTAAGAAAAAAAGTGGCTCAACCTGACTTGTGGCTAGCCGAACCGACCCGCATCCAACCCGACGCGTTCAACAGCCCAACCCGCTTGGATCCTTCCTTTGTAGCTAGACTCTATTTGCCTGGGCCTAATGAGCAAATGACTGGATTTGAACATCAAGCACTGTTTGGTATAATATCTATACATTTTTAGACTTTTTATTACTCATATCAACAATATTTTTATAAAATATACATGTTTTGAAATCATTAATAATGTTTAAGAACATAATTACTAGGAATAATTATATATTTTTGTAAGAATTTCTATTATTAAATGTTTGAAGAAAATAAAGATTTTTTCGATAATAAGATTTTAAATAAATTTAAGTAGTGATTTTTTAAAATTTTTAGGTGATAAAATTTTTTTAAATGTCAGCGTATTAGAGTATTTATAACAAAATTTAATAAAAAATCTTTTTTTAAAAAATATGTATAAATTGTGAAAAAAAATTAATAAAGAAATCTTTTTAAAAAAGGATAAATAATTTATAAAAAATAAAAAATAAAAATAAAATAAAAGGTAAATAAATTGATAACAAATGCATACATCATGAATATAATGTTTCATTATTTGTATTGCATCTATATCACTAAATTATGAAAAAAATAGATGCGAACATCAGAAGATGGGATATTAAAAAAATTCAAGTAGTGATTTCTTAAAATCTCTAAATTAAAATATATTTTTTTAAATGTTACCAAAATATTGGAGTATTTAAAGAAATATTTAACACAAAAAGTTATCATTTACTTATTTTTCTTAATTACACAATAAAAATAATAATAAAAGAAAAGATATAAAAAAATTAAGGTTAGATATAACAATGTGTGAATATTACTTGCTTTAATTAAAAAATAAAAATCTCCAAAGATAAAATTTTAAGAAAATCCGAGTAATGATTCTTAAGAAATCCTTAGAAAAGAAAGAAGAGAAAATTTCTCTTTAAGGGCATTTGATTCACAAAATCTTAAATTTTTGAAGAAAGTATGATTTCCGAAAAAGTGTAATTTTTTATGGCATTCTATTTTTAGATTCTTGTGTTTAGTTGAAAGAATTTGAGATTGCTTAATCATGTATTTTTACTATAATATCTTGCATAATAAACACAATAATATATCAATTACTGCATTAATTTGATCCAAGAAATGCAGAAAACGCAGTATTTGAGTGGCCAATTATAAAGAAAAACTTAGTCGTCAATTATTGCATTAATTTCATCTGCAAGAAATGTGGTAATTGAACAAATATAATAAATAATTACTATGTTTAGCTTCAAAGAAGCACAGTAATTAACAAACCCATAATAAATGCTCATTAAATCAAAAGTCATTAAGTCAAATAGATGAAAAAAATAAATGCTAAATAATGCTTTTCTGTTTAAAGAAATACAACAATTACCATACTTATAATACATGCTCATTAAATCAAAAACTATTAAGTCAAATACAAAAAAAAAAAAGAAGCCGAATAGTACTTCAAAAGAATGCAGTAATTGCTATACTTATAATAAATACTCATTAAATTAAAAACCATCAAGTCAAACATAGGAAAAAGAAATTAAATTCCAAATACTACATTTATGTTTAAAGAAACAAAATACTACATTTCTGTTTAAAGAAACAAAGTAATTGTCATACCCATAATGAATACTCATTAAATAAAAAACTGTCAAGTCAAATAGATAAAAAAAATTAAATACCAAATACGGTTTTTTTGTTCAAAGAAATGTAGTAAATATTCATTAAATTAAAAGCCATCAAGTCAAATACTGCTCTTTTATTCAAGGAAACATAGTAAATAATCACAATTACTACATTTCAAAGCCTACAAATACAGTTTGTTACCACTATACTGGAGCACTTTGACAATCTTTCAATAACAAGGTTCCAATGTATTTTTTGAATAAAAAAGAAATAATTCTTAAGAAAATAAAAAAGATAAAATTTTGATTGTAAAAAGATTTAAGGAAATTAATTTTAAAATCATATTAAGATTTATTTTTTTTTATCAAGATCAAAGAATAACACGAAATTAATTGGTACTATTTTTTAAAATGGATGCTGTGGGATGCTAATTCTTCCCTAAGTGCAATCTTATTTTTAAACCCAAACTATTTTTGTAAACTCTAAAATTATATTTTTAATAAAATTTAATTAATTTTAAGATTTTATTAAAAATATAAGTTTTAATAGGTAACCAATCATACTTAACTAAAAAAGATTTTGGTGACTCCCTATATTTTTAAATTTGTCTACCGATCTCCAAAATCATTACAATAGTAATAGTAAATGGAACAATTTAATTCATCTTTATTATTGAGATTTTCATGTTTTTATTTAAAATTTAAGTATAATATTAAAAAAGAGAAATAAATATGATATTGATGATACAATATAAAATCATATAACTATCAAAATTTTATAAATTCTAATACTATCCAATTATAAAATTAACCGTGCAGAACATAAACGTAAAATGCTTAGTCTAACAACACATTTTAAGGAGAAAAAAATAAATAGTACAAAAAGCATGTAGCATTATTTGTAAACAAATGAATAAAATAAAAAATTTATTCAATTTGATTATCCAGTTGAAACAAATAAAAAATAAATGTAAAACAATATAATTATTATTATAATTTCATGAATTATTAGAGGATAAAATTATAGTATATTTAAAAATTTTAATTAAAATTTTGTTATCTCACATTAGAACTTTTTTAATATTTTAATTTTGTATGAAAATTTAAATGAGTTTGTTCCACAAAATAAAATTTTTAAAATTTTAATAGATAAATAAATTTCTTATACTTTTAAAAACACCTTTTAAATTAATGAATTTGTCAATAAATATGTTCATTAATGATCATAAAATTATATATAATACATAAAAAATAAATATTAATAATTAATTATGATAATTAATTCTTGAAAGTTCAATTTACAAAATTAAATCTATGAAGTGAAGAACAAAGAATACTTTATTTAATATCAATTGAAGAGCATGATCTATCATTTGCAATCTAAAGATAAAATTGCAGGAACACCAGACCAATTCTCAAGCTGATACTATATAATTTCCATGTCGTCGCTGTTTATCAGCTCGATACTTTAGTTTCCTCGCTTAAGTGTTTAATTTTTTTTTTTTACAAAAAAAAAAAATGCAGCATTAAGATAGGAAAATGGACTGTTTGCAAATATTAGAATTCAAACTCTAGATCTATTGAATATCACATTTTATAGATAACTATATGCATTAATGGACCTAAATTTTAGGTTCATAATTTAAACAATTTTAGAAAATTATTCATTGCATAACATTGGAATTTTCGACTATAATCTCATTTAATGATTTCGAAGGCAACAATCTGTTCAAATTGCCTGAAGGCAAGGATAGGAATAAGAAAAGCCTTTGAGGCTTCGAATTTCGAATCAGGTACCAGTTAAAACTTAAAAGTCATAGATTTGGGCTGTCATATTTGAATCAGGCTTGATGAATGCTATATATATGAAGCAAACAATGAAACAACTTATATTTGAGATCAACGATCCACACTCCTGCAATAAGCCAAAAGATTTTAGTAGTAAATAGGTTCAGACATGGGAGGTCTCTAAAACCACCATTATTACGTAACAAAAGGCTCAGAGCAATTCTCATACAAACTGCTAAAGTTTGAACAGAAATCAGTGAGCATCCCCTATTACATTGAGACTCTTAGAACTGTCTGCAAACCGAAAATCAACCAGCTTTTCCTAAATCATAATTGAAAGTACTGCAATAGAATTGCTAGCATCACTTTGGCCGGCCTTCTTCCCGAGAAACACATCAGTAAGCACGGTCTTGGACTGCAAAGATGCCTTCAGCAATTTCACACCCTATTGCAGAAAGCAAGTTTAAGCCAATCTTTTATCATCAATTAAAGAGTGCCACATCCTAAAGTTTTCTAATTTCACGTGAAAAATAACACCTCGGATAATTAAAAAGAAACAATATCACAAATGATTTCATAATTATAATGAAAGCTGCATGTCAATCACATGTCATCATTGGAAACTAATAATTTTAAGAGTATAATGGATGGATATCATATTAGTTAATAATTTATAATTCATATATCATATTAGAGATTTTTAAAATTAAGGTAACGTATTAAATATTTTACCATAGTTCATAGTTAGTAACGCATTCAAGATATTAACCCTACTTAAAATTAAGGCAACAAAAGAAATGGGGTAATTTCTTACCTCATCCGCCCCTATATTAATCACTTTCTCTTCAAGAACCCCTACATCCTTGATATTGAACTTGTTGAGTAAAGTGATACAAGAAATAGTTGACATAGGCCTTACAACCAGATCATCCATGATCATGTAAGTAATAACCCCTTTGACATAACCACCTTCATCACATGATGAAGCCTTCTTCGTTGGTGGATTGACAACGGTTGCGATTTGGCTCATAATATTGTTGCAGGAAGGACAAATGGAGTTCGAATCATTTGCCACATAGATACGACAGCCGCTATAATGGTAACTACTGCCACAGTTATAAATGTTGGTGGATGTTAGCGGTTGAATGTTTGGCAGCAAGGATGGTAAATTTGCAGCATAATCGGAAACTTTAGGCTTCAAAAGGGTGTCTTTATTCGTCATTGGCTGCAGGTAAGTATCGCTCAGATTTTCAAGGCTCTCGTAAAGGTTTCCGAGACAACCGACCATGTCTTGTTTGGTGAGAAGCCCTATGACAGTGCCAAGAGGCAATGACAGAATGTTGAACAGAAAATCAACAAAATCTTTCCCAGCTTCAGCAAACAGAACCCTTTGGCTTGTTGAGTCTACCAGAAGCTTCAAGCTAACAGTGGTGGAAGCCATTACAGGAGCACTGTTGTAAGAAGAACTGTCAGAGATCTTTACTACAATTACTGTCTTGTTAAATTTTGCGGAGTTTATGCTCTGTATTTAAAGCAACAAAGGACACAGATAGAGCAACCATTAGTTGCAAGGGATTCTTTCCACTACTTCCAAGTCACCTATATTTCCCCTTTTTTTTTTTTTAAACAAATGAGATCACGACCGAAGATAGGTAAGTGATGTCATCTTTAAAGGTAAATGCATGAACCATTAAAATAACACGACAAGTATAATTTTTAACTTTTCTATTTTCTTTTTCTTGTTTTTGATTTGGTGAAGAGAGATTCAAAACCTGCTCAAAGAGCAGAGGATAAATTCACCAACCATTGTGCAAACTTTTCAATTATCTTTCCTTGAAGAGATCAACTACCTCCAATAGCAGGAAATCAAAACATTGTTTAGACCCCAAGAATGAGGTTATAAGTAATGGTTTGAGGATTTGACATAAGCAAATAGGTTCCAGTTATACAATTGGACTGACATGTTTGAAATTTAATTTACAAAACCAAAACAAGTTAACGACAGAACCCATTATTTATATCAATTGAGGAGACACAACTGCAAGAGCACCAGACCACATCTCAGTTTGATACTTGCTGGTTTCAATGTTTAAAATGTGCTATTTCAAACCTGTGTTTGCAAATAATGAAATAATTTGAAAGTTTAAGTAAAAAAGAATTCACTAAATAGGTTTAGACTTCAAAGGACTCTAAAACCAGATAAAGATGGATAACAAGTTTCCCCAATTACATAACAAAAGACTCAAAGCAAGTCTGTCTGAACTGCTACAAGTATGAACTTTGACCATAGGCCAACAAGCATCTACTCCTACACCAAGATTCTTACTGTCTGCAAATCTAAATCATACCAGCATTTCCCAAATCACATCGCGACGGCAGTAAGCCCCGTGTCATAGACTTAAGGAAAAGTCCTGAATCTCACATCAAACATAAAAGGAAGGTCATTGGGATATAAAATGATTCACATTATCTCATACTTATAAGGCATCTTTTGTAGGACAAAATCCTGAAATCAAAAGTTCAAAACGGACGATACCTTATAAGGGTGTGAATTGTGGCAGATAAGCTGATCTATGACACTGGATGAGTGAATACTCGGATCTTGGAGTCACGAGAGTCGGAGCTTAAGTGTTGACCCGTGACACATCCCGCCTTCATCGAACTTATTGAACAAATGGGACTTGGGACTTTTGTTTGAGTTGTACCATAAGTTTCAAGCTAACAATGGTGGAGGCCGTGACAAGTAAATAATTGTATGAAAAAATATGAGACTTTATTGTTCAATTTTATAGTTCATTGGTATAATCAAGGATCATAGCGAAGTGAAAATGGCCCAAGCAAACACAAATTTTAATTTTGGTATTTCAAAATTTAACTGAAATTGATAGTTTAAAATTTTTAACTAAAATTGATAGGTCGTTCAAAAATTAACTGATATTGATAGGTCATTCAACAAGAAACAACCCTCCAAAAATAGAAATATGCCGCTAAGAGTAGTGAGCACACGGTACTCTTTAGTAAAAGGTGAAGGAATAATTCAGTTTCTGCTCACCGCACAGCTCCGTGCTCTCTTCTTTTCATTTGCGATTTGATTTATAAAAGTAGGTTGAGGTTCACTTGTTTGTCTCTTGGGAATGTGGGGTTCTTAACTACTATTAGCTCTTCTAATTGTCCACTCTTCTGCCAAGCCACACACTTTTCTATCACATTTCCACTCATTTTTCATGCTTTATTTTATAAAATATGGTACCTTTAAACTTGTAGCATTTCTTTTTCTCCCTTATTGAAGTATTTCTTCCTCAAGTCATCATTTTCATAATTCAATTTGAATGTCATGAAAAGGAAAACTTCTTTGCTGGCTTAGCAAAGTTCAAATTCTTATAAAATATATAGTACTTTTTTTTTAACAAAAATATAGTTCATTTAAAAGCTAGGTTTTCTTTGCTTCTTTAACATAGTTAACTAATGGATTTAGGCTATGAAAAAGCCATAAACACAGGTATATTTTAGCAAGCAGTCATGTAATTTATTGATTAAGTGCTAAACTTTTAGTTTTAATCATCAGAATTTAAATTTTGACATCTACAAACACCCAAAAAAAAAAAAAGAATATGGCAATCTTATAGAAGGATCAAGACCAAACTTATCCAAGTTACTATGGGCAAACATGAACTCATAAATGGCGGAATAATATCATCCATAAGAAAGGGACAAATCCATCCAGTTTTGGAAGCTAGCATTTGCCTTAAAAAGTTCACGTTAGAACCTGCCTTTGAAGAAAGTGTTAAATTGAACAGTTATGGGAATTGAAAAAAAAAAAAAAAGGGAAAAACCTCACAAAAGGGAAATTACTGTGTAACTATTTTGGCTGGAATTAGCTTTCAGTATTAAAAATAAAATTTATCTATTAATTGTGACCATTATGCCTTTTGGGTTTTCTCATAAATATTCGGATTAATTTGGGTTTACTTTGCATTTTGATTTTTTTATTTTAATAAAAATAATTTATATTTATTAATTATGATAATTGATTGAATTTTTTTGTTTTTTTTTTTTATCTTTTGATTGTCACCATTTTAAGGAGATACATATTCAATTGACTGTGTATTGTTTTTTTTTTCTTTTTGGCTTTACCTTTTTATTTTTTAAAAAATAATATTTATGTATTAATTGTGATAATTTATTGTTTTTTTTTTTGTTTTTACCTTTTCATTTTTCTAACCTTTAAAAATAATATTTATCTATTAATTGTAATAATTGATTGTTTCTTTTGGGTTTTTTGTCCTTTTTTTTTTACAATTTTAAAGATAATATTCACTTATTAAAATTAGATTAATTGTGATCGCTAAACGTTTTTTTTAGCTTTATTTGCCTTCTAATTCTTTTTATTTTAATAAAAATAATATCTATTTATCAATTATGATAATTGATTGTTATTTTTATCTTTCTTACCTTTTAATTTTTCATCATTTTAAAGAGATATATATTATATTAATTGTGTATTTCTTTCTGTCTCTTGGCTTTCAACAAACTTAGTGTGTGTGTATTTTAAACTCTTTGTTTATTTAATGAAATTTTCATACATTTACTTTAAAATATATAATAAATTTCATAACACAAATAAAAGATTCATAAACTTGCTAATGGATAGAGATATATATTTATAATAGTAGTCTTACAAATATAATAATAATTTAAAATATATGATATTTAAAATTTTATGCAAAAATATTCAATTTTTAATTTTAAATAATATACTAAAAATTTGATCTAACAACTTATGGATTAAAAGAATCTAGTTGAGTAATTAAAAAACATTTATAACATTAGAATATCGTATTCTTCTACATGGTTTATTTTTTTATTTGCTATAGATTAAATTTTGTTTAAGAAATTTTAGTGGATGTTGAAAATTACTAATATTACAATTTAACTCAAAAATTAATTAATTTCTAAAAGAATGAGATACAAACAAATTTAATAAAAAAATATAAGAGATTTAATAAATTAACTATACTTAGGCTTCGTTTGTTTTAGCGTAAAATCATTTCCAGAAGTTGTTTTTAGTGTTTTTTTGGTGTTTGGATATTCCAGTCAACAGAAAATAATTTCTGAGTCAAAGGTAATCAGTATAATTTTGGGGAAAGATGTCTTCCTCTTTTCTACTCCAGAAGACAATTTCCACAACTCATCTCCTTTGTCTTCTTTGTGGAGATCCCTAAAAAAACAACCTAAAACCTTTACAAACATAACAGATTCACAACTCAATAGAATTTCCACAGTTTATCTCATTTATTGCCAACAACAACCAAAGCAAACCCAACAAATTTTGCTTTAAAAATTTTAGTGAAAAAAAAAAAAACAGAAACTTAAAAAAGGACAATCAGACCCAATTTCTCAAAACCACAAACCCAAAAGCTGAAGCAACAAAACATAAAGAACACAGAAGTATTAAAAATGATTCTTGTCTTTGTTGCCAAAAGCAAACAGAGAGAGATGTTGGAGCTTTCTTCTTGCAATGAGGCAGACCGACTTATTGTAGGTTCGCCTTACCATTCGTGGTATAGTGCTCTCCATCCAGCAAACTTAATCTAACATCGATTCAAGCCATTATATTGGGCCAGCAACAAGTCAGAATGGGTTCGGTCAAATCTGGGTATAAGAGTATGGCTGACGAGCTCTAATTGGGTAGCTTAACAGAAGATGGGTTAAATATTTCCAAACCCAATATCTTGAACCTTATTAAAAAAAATGAAAATTTGATCTTCAATAGTGAAGATGATGATGAAATATGTAGAGAAATACCTTGCATGCTTGATTTTGTTTTGGGAAAAACCAAAAATTTTCAACAGGAATTTTTAAAAGTAAGAAAATCAAAAAATTTAAAACATGCCCATAGATTCCTTATTCTTGCAAGAATAAGAAAGAAGAGTTGGCTTGGTGGGTTGTGGTGAATGGCAATAGGTAAGGGTGAGTCAGGTTTTTACTAATCTTAAATTTAATTCAATGTTATACTTATATTATCTGAATCCAATTCGATCCGATGACTTTTTTATTTTATTTATATCTAAACTCGACTCGATCCAATATTATATAAATTGTATCCGATTCAATTTAAAATTAATAAAATATTATTTTTAAATATAAAATATTATTTTTTAATATAAATATAAAATTAAATAATTAATTAAATGTAATTTATATATATATATATATATATCAAATCAAGTTGGGTTTATTTAAATTTTGACTTTAACTGTTTCTTACAATTATCCAATCTGACTCAACATGAAACCTGATTTTCAAAAAAAAAATCAACACTAAAAAGTCAGATCGGGTCAAAACTCATCAATGGCAGGTTGAGTTACCATCTCTAGTGGTGGAGAGCGAAGAAAGAAGAAAAGTTAGCTTTGTAGACTACTACTTTGCGTTGGTTGCGGTTGGTTGTGGTGGAAATGGAAGAAGGAGATGTTATTGCTTCTAAAACAATCCAAACAATGAAAAATTAATTCTTTTCTGAAAAATATCTTTATGAAAAAACTTTTTATTTTCTTAAAGTTGTT